TGCTGGAGATGTTGACACAAGAAGATCGATGACTGGCTATGTGTTTACCCTTGGAGGATCTGTCGTCAGTTGGAAGGCAACTTTGCGACCTACAGTGACTTTGTCTACTATGGAAGCGGAGTACATGGCCTTGACAGAGGCTGCAAAAGAAGGGATTTGGCTGAAAGGGCTGGTTAGTGATCTTGGTCTGCATCATGATCAGGCTACGGTGTATTGTGAAAATTTGAGCGCAATTTGTCTAGCCAAGGATCAAGTCCATCATGAGAGAACCAAGCATATTGACGTGAGGTATCATTTTCTGAGAAGTGAGAAGAGAATCAAGGTGAAGAAAGTAGGAACTGCTGATAATCCTGCTGATATGTTCACAAAGCCGGTTCCACGGAGCAAGTTTCAACACTGTTTGGACTTGCTCAACATCAGAAGTTGTTAATTGCCCTGCGGGGCAATTCTGAGGAAGAGGGGGAGGCCTGGCACTATCATAGTGCGTCTGAAGAATCTATTTGGAGAATTCAAGTCAAGGTGGAGATTTGTTGAATGCCTTGAATTGGACCCTTAATTATCTGTTAATTCTGTATGTTGGGCCCAAGCCTGTTAGGGCGTAGTTTAGCACTATATATAGACGCTATGGCAAACCCTATTCTGTAATTTTGTTCTTGCCTCTCCATAATAAAACTGCTCCCCCTCTTCCTGTGGACGTAGCCAATTTATTGGTGAACCACGTAAATCTGTTGTCTTGTTTTTCGCATTAATATTTTCTCGTATTATATCAAATTCCGCACAACAACTTTCTCAGATCAAGAACCTATCAAGGTGATAATACAAATATCGCATCGTTCAGATCACTAAAAAGACTTGTTTTCTGCAACATGCCCAACTTAGTTGAGTGGACTGAACCAGAAGAGGTGACAACAGAGAAGTTGTTCCCTCACTTGGAGGAAATAGAGATACACAACTGTTCGCAATTAACTACCACTCCATGTTCTTTTCCCGGCCTGGAGGAATTGAGGATTTCAAATGTTAGCAGTTACCAGCCATTGGAAAATATATGCAGTAGAGATAACTCATCAGGTCTTACATTTCTACATACTGATGGCTTGCTGGAGCTTGCTTGCCTTCCGGATAATCTTCTAAACAATATTAAGAATCCGGTATATCTGGCTATATATAAATGTCCTAATTTGGTGCATGATGTTCCACGTGGGAGGGGTTTTGGTCCCTTTCTTCGTGTATTGGATATCAAAGAGTGCACAAATCTCAGCACATTACCTGATGATTTACAAACTCTTCAGTCTCTTGCAATGCTGTGGATATCTAGATGTCCAAAAATTACGTCAATCCTAAGCTTGGAAGGCCTAACGACCCTGGAAGAACTGAGAATCAGCTACTGTGACGAGTTGGCTTCTCTGCCAAATGAAATGCTACTGTCATGCATGTCTCTGAAATCTTTGAGCATAGAAAACTGTGTTAATTTAACCTCCTTTCCAAATTTGCAATAGTTGAATTCCCTTTTATCCTAGAGAATTGTTGATTGTCCACGGTTGACTAGTCTCTCCTGTAAGAAATATGAAAGGAAAAATAATATCTTTAAAGAATGCTCAAGTTTATTATAGGTTATTTAAGGCCACTTGAGATAATTACAATCAACCACATCACTGTTTATACTACTCAAAATAGAAAACAAAAAGTCTTGCACAAATAATTAAATACGTGTATCATAATTTACTAGATATATGTACTATGAAATTCTAAAGAGATTCCTCGAAAAACTAAGAGACAGTTTCGAAAGACTAAACATTGATGCATTAATTTCAACACTTGCCCTTAATGCATTTGCTTGATAACTCCAATACGTTCTCGAAGATAGCAAAATTTTTCTCTAGGAAGTGCTTTGGTGAAGATGTCAGCAAGTTGTTCTCCTGTCTGACAATAATACAACTGAATTTCGTCTTTCTCTTGTGCTTCTCGGATAAAATGATACTTGATGAAAATATGCTTTGATCTTTCATGGCTGACTGGATTCTTGGCAATTTCAATTGCTGATTTGTTATCACAATACAGAACAGTCCCCCCCCCCCTTTTTTTTCCCACCAATGTCTTCAAATATTCGCCTAAGCCAAATAGCTTGAGAAGTAGCCTTGGATGCTGAAACATATTCTGTTTCGGCAGTGGATGGAGCAACAACACTTTGTTTTTTTGATAACCAAGAACAAATGCTTGATCCAAATAAGAAAGCATAACCAGAAGTACTCTTCATGTCATCTACACTTCCAGCCCAATCATTATCAGAATAACCAATCAAGTTCAAATCTCCACCAAATTTGTACATTATCCCATAATCCATTGCTCCTTCACAAGTAGCGTAGAACATGCTTTGCAGCTCCAAAATACACTTGGCTTGGTTCTTGCATGAATCTTGATAATAAACTAGCAGCAAACATAATATCTGGCCTTGTTGAAGTAAGATATAGCAGACTTCCAATAAAACTCCAATAAAGTGAGCTATTTACTTTATTTTCTCCATCATCTTTTCTAAACTTCTCATTTGCTGCTAACGGTATGGCCACAGACCTACAATACATCATTTTGAATTTTTGAAGAATACTTTTAGTATACTTCTTTGGAGAAATGAAATTCCTTCTTTCACTTGAGAAACTTCGATGCCCAAGAAATAATTTAGCAGCCCAAGATCACTCATTTCATAAGCTAGCATCATATTTTGTTTTAAAATTGCATCATCTTTACATCATTTCCTGTAAAGAGTAAATCATCCACATAGAGACAAACAATGATAATGTTGTCATGTTCTTTCTTCATATACAAAGTGGCTTCACTTTTACTTCTCTGAAAATTATTTTTCAGAAAGCATGTAGCAATTTCATTGTACCAGGCTCTTGGAGCTTGCTTCAGCCATAGTTTCTTTTAACCTGTACACCTTTTCTTCACCCCCTTGAACAAAAAATCATTGAGGTTGCTCAACATAAATCTCTTCATTAAGTATTCCATTCAGAAATGCTGATTTAACATCAAGTTGAAACATCTTTAATTTTTTTTGTGCAGCAACAACAATTACAATTCTAATTGTCTCAATACGAGCAACCGGAGAGAAAGTTTCATAAAAATCACTACCTAGTATTTGCGTGAAGCCTCTAGCAACCAACCTTGCTTTGTGCTATTGAATATCTCCTTCCTGATTGAGTTTGATTTTGTAAATCCATTTTAGACTTACAACTTCTCTTTCTCTACGAATAGCCACAAGCTCCCTAGTAATATTTTTTCAATCATTCGAATTTCTTCTTCCATGGCTTTCTTCCAAGCATCATGTTTTATTGCTTCTTCATAATTTTCTGGCTCAACACCAACAAAATTAAATCTTTGATAAATGTCACTCAACATTTTTGTTCCTCTTGGAGGCGGTTCTTCATTATCGGAATCTGGGATTTCTCCCCCTTGAGAGACATCTTCATCTTTCTCATCCTCTTCTTGATTTGAAGATATGATGGCAGTATTCTCAATCTTTTTATCCTCCCAATTCCATGTTGTTTTTCATCAAAAATGACATCTCTATTAACAACAAGTTTGTTAGTTTTGACATCGAGAAGCCTATATCCTTTTGTCACATCACTATAACCAAGAAAGACACATTTTTGACTTTTTTTCATCTAATTTTTTTTGTTTTCTCGGCAGTACATGAGCATAGCAAATACACCCAAAAATTTAAAATGATTTATAGAAGGTTTAATTTCACTCAAAGCTTCAAGTGGTGTCTTGTCCTTTAGTGTCTTTGTTGGACACCTGTTAAGGATGTGAACTGTTGTATGCATTGCTTCTGCCCAAAAATATTTTAGCAACCCTTTCTCATTCATCATCGTTCTGGCCATTTCAACAATTGTTATATTTCTTCTTTCAGATACACCATTTTCTTGAGGAGTATACCTTGATGTAAGTTACTTCTGAATGCCTTCATTTTTGTAATATTATTGTGTACTCACCTCCTCGATCACTGCGAATGGTTTTTATGTTGCAACATTTTTGCTTCTCAACAAGGGCTTTAAATTTATTGAATGTAGCAAATGCTTCTAACTTTTCTTTTAAGAAATAAATCCAAGTCATTCTTGAGAAATCATCAATACAGATTAGAAAATACCTTTCACTTCCAAGAGATGGAGTCTTCATTGGTCCACAAATGTCGATATGAATTAGTTCCAAAAGTACACTTGCTCTCCAAGACACCCCCTTTTGGAAAAAGACTTCATGTGTTGCTCTCCCATTATACAACTTTCACATGTATCCACCTCAGTATGTATCTCAGGAAGGCCTTGCACCATGTCCTTTTGCTTGAGAAGCTTTAAACCATGAAAAATCAAGTGACAATTTTTTTTGTGTCAAAGTCATGAATCATCTACAATTTCATTTTTTAATGCATTGTAATGAAATTGCTAAGGGAAGTTTCTTTTTATCATTTTTACTTCAACAATGACTTGATTTGGCTCAATTTTATTATCTCTAAATACAAGAGAATAACCATTTTCCATGAGTTGACCAACACTAAGCAAATTTTCTTCTAAGTCAGGAACATAAAGAACATCATGAATTTGCTTACCGCTTCCTTTCATGTTGATCGAAATAGTACCTTTACCTATCGCATCAACTAAGGTTTCATTCCGCATCTTCACTTTAGTAGTGATGCTATTATTAATTGAGAGAAAAGTCTTTTTATCTCCAATCATGTGATTACTACAACCACTATCAACATACCATTCATTGCTTTTTGTTGAAGCATCAGATTTAGAAGAAAAGAAAAGGTTTTCTTCCTTTTCTTCCTCCTGTTTTTTCACAAAATTTGATTGCTCCCGTTTCTTGTGCAACAATCCTTTTCAACATAGCCAAACTTTTTACAAAAGTTACATTGGGGCTTGCCTTCGTGCCAACATTTTTTTGCATTGTGATTAGTCATTTTGCAAACTTTACAAAAAAGACTAGAGTTTTTCTCACCTTTTTCTTCAACCTTCTTGGAAGAACCATCATGATCCTGCTCTTTTTTGGATTGTAATTCTTCTTCAATGATTTTTGATAAATTTTGAGAATTCTCATTTGTTTTGGACTGGAAAGTCGTCTCTTTGGGTTGATCTTTACGAAAAAATCTTCGCTTCTTCTGTGCACGAAATGATCCAACTAGTTCGTTGATGGAAAGCTTAGAAAGATCTTTCGTCTCCTCAGTGATAACAACGATGTACTCAAACTTTTCTGTGACACTAATTAGAATCTTTTCCACAACTTGTTCGTCAGAATTGTATCATTATGATTTCTCATTTCATTAACTATATTCATGACTCTTGTGCAATATTCATCAATTTTTTCAGATTCTATCATCTTTAAGTTTTGAAATTCTCTTCTAAGAGTTTGAAGATTTATAGTGCGTACCTTTTTGTAACCATACACCTCAGTTTTCAGAAAATTCCAAGCTTCCTTTGCAGTCTCACAAGTAGCAATTTTTGCAAAATATATTCTTGAGACTCTCATTTGGATTTTGCTCAAGGCTTTTGCATCTTAACGATATGTAGCCTCAAGATTTTTCATCTCTGCTGTTGTAAGATCACCATCGTTGTCTGGCTCTTCAAAGCCATTTGCAACAATAGTCCACAAACCTTCAACTTTCAAATGTGTTCTCATTCTTATTTTCCAGTATTAAAAATCAGTTCATCAAAAAATGAAGTAATAACAATTGAAGAATCAACACCTTCATTTGTTTTGGATGTCATATTTTTTTCTTCACCTAACCCCAGATTAAGAACGAAAATCTGCTCTTGATATCAATTTGTAGGAAATATGAAAGGAAAATAATATTTTTAGAGAATGCTCAAGTTTATTATAGGCCCCTCAAGGTCAAGGTCACTTAAGATAATTATAATCATCAACTACATCACTATTTATACTACTCAAAATAGAAAACAAAAAGTCTATCACAATTTACTAGATACATTTACTACAAAAAAAACTAAGAGATAATTTTGAAACACTAAACATTGATGCCAACATCCCAAAGGGGTTTCATTCTTTTTCTTGCTTAAACTACTTAAGCATTGGTCCATTTTCAGATAATGTCACTTCATTCCCGGATTCTTGATTACGAAGACGCTCCTAACAGTGAGATACATGAGGAAAAATTTCAACTTTTCTCTCTTAGAAGTTTAACACTTTTTTGGCGACCTCATTGGGACTCTCTGCCTGCATGGCTTCAAAATCTTTCTTATTTAACAGAACTACATCTTTATGATTTTGGATTTGAAGCTGTGCCTGAATGGATAAAATACATGTCTTCCCTAGAACGATTGGGCCTATACTGGTGTGAAAAGGTGAGTTTTCTTCCCTCCGTTGAAGCCACAAAATGCCTTGTCAAACTAAAAGAAGTGGAGATTTACAATTGCCCTGTATTGAGTGAAAGATGCTCTTCTTTGGGTGGATCTAATTCTGAATGGTCCAAGATTTCTTATATAAACCAAATCAAAGTTGATGACGAGCAAATCACATCCGAGGCTTCTTATGAAGTGTTACCATCTCCAACTCCCACAAAAAAAAGAAAAAAAGCGGAGGAAGAAATAAGGTGAAGAGCAACAACTAGATGCAGATTTCCTTCCGTTTTTTCCCCCTTTTGATGGATGATATTTGGTAATCTTGTATCTTTGACTACTTCAATTAATTCGTACCTCCTGTTCATTTGAATCCCCAACTATGTATATGCTAATTCATGTTCTTTGCATATCTTGTGTTATTGAACTATATATTAAGAGTCTGATTCTGATACAATTTATCATGAAGAATAACTGATTTTACATTTGGAAAGGTCGTTTGTCTATTTACTAGTCAATGTTCCATAATAGTTTATCATAAACCTGCCTCAGGTAAACATTGAACATCATATTTGACATAAACTCAATAATGACGCAGATTATGCACTTCCGAAAGGAAAATGAAATAACTAGAAACTACTTTCAATAAATTAAACACTAATTTATCTAGCATAATGTTGGTGCATTACTTATCCTGATCATAGGGAGGTTTAATTAACACTCCAAGCTGGTTCTCTTGTGGCCCTCAAGTTGCCAAACAATAGTCATATTTGCTTTTCACGTTCCTTCACAGCTTAGCAGAGAAACTTCAATTTTATCTAAAAGCTGTCATTCAATGTAATGTAGTGTGAGGAAGCTATCAAAGATGACAGAAAATCTATGCCTAATGGGGTAGGAATTGCAACTGGATCAGTTATGCAAGAAGTTCTTGGTTATGGTCGGTGGAGAAGTTCTCTTGGTTGTGTAGCTAATCGTCATCTTAATAGGCATTTGGACATAGATTTGAAGGTCAACCCTTTGTAAAATTTCACTTGCTTTAAGTTGGATGAATGAATGCTTCCAAAATCTAAAAATTATCATAAATTAGCTTTCTGGAAAGACCATGCACATAATTGTTCTTGCTAGTTTTACATTTGCAGTTATCTCATTAATCTGGTTTGAACAACATAGTTGTTAGAGCTAAACAAGCATTGTTTTCTTCTTCTTGATTTGAACGAATACACAATTGCTAAATAGCTTCTGTTTCCAGGTACATACGTAACAGAACCAGAAGTGGTCAGTCCAAACACAGACACCACAAGTAATAAAGTGATAAGTAGAATATTATTCCCACAAGGACTTGTAATAGCTATTAACTAAATCAAACTATTATGACTTATTCAACTGACTCCAAGATGTGATTATAAATAATTCAACTACTACAACAACACTACAAAGTAAGCAAGTAAAAGAAACGACGAGAGATTCTTAACGAGATACAAAATCCTAGAGTAAAAAAAAACACTATGTGATTAAGTATATTTCTATCCTAAACCTGAATTTACTCCCCAAGGCCCAGGTTCAAGAACTTGCGCTATTTCAGCATTTTGTAGTGTTCTGCGTTAAGATGGGTGGCCGATGGACTGCATGAGGTGGGTAAGACATGTAGCTTAACAACTGTGTAACAGTAGCTAGCTTTCTTTCTGCAATATGAAATTATATGTTTATTGGACTGTGATTCAATTACTTACTAGTAAGTTTATAATGACCTGTATAAAAGAGCTAAGTGAAGAATAAAGAAACAAGGAATAGAACCTGTCAATATGCATGGAGATGTTCAAAATAATCAATTTGCTGAGTGGAGTTTGAGAATTTTTGATCAAACTAAATCATTATATAAAATAATTTATAAAAATAATATATTTTTTTAAAACTTTACAAAACTAGTATAAACGTATTTCATAGTAACGTTTAAGGGTATATTTCGTTTTTTAAAAACTAACAACGTTGGGTTGATATATGTTACTGTAAGTAACGTTATACTCCTAAAACGTTATTTTGAGAAACATTTTACTCCTAAAACGTTACTATGAGTAACGTTTTAGGAGTAAAATGTTACTATGAGTAACATATATTAATCTAACGTCGTCGGCTTTTAAAAAATAAAATATACCCTAAAACGTGACTGTGAAATTCGTTTATACTAGTTTTAATTTTTTTTAGAAAAACGTATTATTTTGGTGAGTTGTTTTATATAATAGCTTAGTTTGATCAAAACCTCGGAGTTTGACAACAAAGCATAGGTTCTTTATTCTTATTCACATATTCACATCTCTTTATCTTAATAGTAAAGAGTAAGACAATATAAGAGAATAAGTCCATACTTTTATTAATTCATGTAGTGCGGTATATAAAGGGCTATGCCCAGCTGATACAAAGTCCTAATATATACAATGTGGAACTCATGGGGCTTCCAAGAGTGCTGTTATTAAGGGCAAGAAATGGTGATTGAGATAAATGTTTTGCCTATAAATGGCAGAGCAATTTTCATCTTTAATGGGCTATCCAACACAATAGTTTGTACAGTTCAATACAGAGATAGGAGATGAATGATGATGGATCCTTCTCTCCTTTTGGTCCACTTCTCTACAAGAACCTTGTTTATATTTGTGCAGCTCACTATCACCATGGCTATTGCAGTAGCTTTAACATCACGGAAGGGCATAAAGATAACATGATTTTAGAAGTAAAGAGATGTCAAAATACAAAAGAATAAAGAACAATAGCTGCAACACAACACTAAGAACTGCAACATAGTAGCAACACCAGAAAAAAGCAGAACTATAACATCATTTTAAAGTTCAAAACACTTGAAAATGCATAAAAATAACTCCAAAAGTACAGTATATTGGCAACACCGCAACACCTACGGATTTAGAACAATACAACATTTGAGAACAACAACTCTTGAAAATGAAACAGAGGAACACCACCTGAGAATGCAATATAGTAGCACCAGAAAGGAGATATCAACACCTGAAAAATGCATAGATAAGCTCTTGGATAAGGCTAAATTACTATCAACATTGAACACATATTAGCACTCAAAATAAGCTAAATACCAGTGATTCATTCTAGCTTTGTGTTAGTAGAGCATATCCAACCAAAATCTACATATTTCTTCTTGTCCAACTGTTTTTACTTGTCCAGCTCCTTCCTGTCTAGCTTTTTCTTGTCCCGCTTCTTCATGTCCTCTTCTAACCGGATTCATAAATCACAATATAAATTGTGTTAGTTTAAGATTATAAGAAACTAAATCTGATATAGTTAAGATATAGCAGTACAGGTAATTTTGGACGAACTGAAGTAGTCTCTTGTGACACAACATTATATTTGCAAGTTTTTTTGTTATGACCAGGCTTGTTGCATGTACTGCAATCTAGAGATTGTTGCTTTCGTTTCATCTTTATTCGACTTGCTCCAACTTCATCGGCTTCCTTTCTTCTCACCTTTTGTTTTCTTCCTCTCTTTTTCTTTCCTACGATTGATGGAGGCAAGGGAGGAACTCTACTTGATTTAGCCCACATTTGTGGCCCATTTATCGGAAGAATTGCATGTTCATAGATTTTTTCTATATGTTTCGACTTTGTAACAATCACCACATAGTCAAGAATGTTATCCTTCTTCGCTCGAATTGCTGCAATAGCATGCTTGCAAGGAATTCCCATGATACATTTCCTACAACTACATATTTTGTTCTCCAAATCAACAGCCCAACTATCATGAATAGTAGCTCCTATAATCTCATAATTCCATTGATAAGATTTTCTAGGAATATACTCACCTCCTGCAGTCTGATTTTTGTGCAAAATATCCTTAATATTTGGGCAAACATCATTCGAACTCCATTTATGCTCTTTCTCTCTATTATCTAACATTCTAGCCATGAGAAGATATCACAATTCCTCCAAAAGTGTCACAAAGGCTTGTCTCTAGCATCAAGGATCATGCTATTAAACACTTTCACAAATGTTATTAAATAAAATATCACACTTAGCATCTGAAGAGAAATGAGACCTCGACCATTGGCTAGGTTCTTTGTCATTGAGCCAATCGGCAGCATTTGGATCTAACTCTCTTATACGTAACATGCAAACATCAGATTCTTTTACAGTGGTAGCCTTTTCAGCATCCCAAAATGCTTTTTTTAATGTGAACCCGCCAAAGCCAGCTCTCTCAAAATTGTTACGTAGATGTCTCACACAAAATCTATGACTGACATATGGCAAAACCTCATTAAAAGCTCCAATAAGACCTTTTTGTTTGTCGGACATAAAGGTCCAACCAGTCTCATCTACATCTAAATCAGCTGCCAAATAGTTCAAAAATCAAACCCACGACTCTTTACTTTCTTTCTCGACAATTGCATAGGCAACGAGAAATATATTATTATTACCATCAATTCCAACAACAGTTAACAGTTGAGTCCAATACATTGGACCCTTCAACCAACAACCATCCACGCCTATTATTTTTCTGCATCCTACCTTGAAAGCTAGCTTACAAGCAGCAAAACAGATGTATATTCTTTGAAATCTGTATGGCTTGTTTGGTATCTCATTCTCAGTGAACTTCATATAAATTGTACTATCTGGATTTGTCCTATCAATTTCAATACAATAATCCCACATCATTTTGTATTGATCCTCGATATCATCGTCAATCAATGCAATAGCTAACATCTTAGCTCTTTTGGCTTGAGACAAAGTTACATGAGCTCGTAGATCTACACTTACTCTATCTCTAAAATCAACTAAGCTCCATGCTCCGTTTGATTTAATTTATGTGAGGTATTTTCTTGCAATGAATGATGATGTTATTTTTCTATTATCACAATGCCACTCCTTGCAATTATCTGTAGGAATGTACTTTCTAATCTGGAAAGTTGTATCCTTTGCATTTTACATGCTGTGATTTTTCATTTGCACCCTGAATGTATTCAAACGACTTTCATTCTTTCTCTGTCATTTTTGAGCCACTGGATATACTTTTCATTCTTAATCTCGTGAGTAACTACTGCACTTTTAAAATCTTTCTTGCATTCAAAAACACATTCTAAAGCTAAAATCAGGTTGTCTCCGTCTGTTTGTGGATTGAATGTAGGAAAGTTCAAGATCTCATTTTCAGAATCACTATGCAAACTTTTTGTGTCCGTAGAATCAACACAATCAGACTCCCCTTCTGGAGCTGTCATCTTTCTCTGTGCTTCGACACTGAGAATCTCCCATTCATCCACTATGTATTGTGCAGTGTTTTCATGTTTATCAACAAGTAAACCATCAGTTAACTCAACTTTCGAGTCGCTAAAATCATTTGCCAATGGATTTTCCTGAACAACTTGTTGTTTGTTATTATCTGTAGCACTTGAGTTATGGATAGAAGTCATATCTTCTATATTGAAATATGAATCCAAGTGTTCAAAGTAAATTTCGATCATGTAGACATTTTTGCAAACTGCATGGGCTTCATTATCTGTAGACACCAACCTCCATCTATTACCAGAGCTTCCAATCTAAGCAAAAAGTTATTGAATTCTTCAAGTATCCATAAATCTCTGCCATTTTTGCAAACTGCATGGGCTTCATTATCTGTAGACACCAACCTTCATCTATTACCAGAGCTTCCAATCTAAGCAAAAAGTTATTGAATTCTTCAAGTATCCATAAATCTCTGCCATCTTCTTAAACTCATCAAGGTCCAATTTGTTTGCATTAACATAATCAAATATAGTCTATGTTGCCCTCAACATAATGCTTTTCTGGAGTACGTTTCATAACAACTCCTCCGTGATGTATTTTGATACTGAAAAATGATGTATCTGCCATCGATTCTAAAATAGCAAAAAATATATTCTAATCAACAGAAATAATACATATACAACATGATATTAATATCAAAGCAAATAACAAAAAGTATAAATTTCAGGGGCATTGATTAAGTAATAAAACTTCTAAAATATTAGCAAAGTTACAAGGCGACATCTTTATATATATATATATATATATATATATATATATATATATATATATATATAAACGTGCATCTTGTGTTGAATTATTTTTTGCGATAGTGAGATTTGATTTAAAAAATTTAAAATAAAATCGTACTTATCAGAAATTGGAGGTGATTCTGTGTCATTGTTGCTCCTTAAAAACATTGTAACTCCCAAACTTTGATTATAATATGGAAGAAAGTATAATGCAGGTTTCAGATTTTAGAATTATTTGGAGATTGGAGATAAAGATAGGGAAAAACTAAGAAAAAAGACCAATGTTTCAAAAGGAGAAGCCCAACCAACGGTTTTAACAATTTTTGGAGGTAAAATTATGAGAAGCACGTGCATAACCATTGGTCTGTTAAAAAATTAACAGAGTTAAAGAGGGAGACTAAAAATGCACTACTTATCAAAGAATTAGGTGTTGTAGAATATGCCACGTGGGCCCCAAACAAGTGATGAGTTTGCACATTGTTATAGAATATGACACGTAAGTGATGAGTTGCACATTGTTGTAGAATATGTCACGTGGGGCCCACACAAGGGATGAATTGCACAAATCTCATGACTATAAATAGCCATTATACACATTAATAGAAACAGACAATTTTATGAAATATACTACTTCCTAAATTTTTCTTCTTTAAGTATATTAATTTTTAGTAAGTTCTTTTATAACACGTTATCAGCATGAGTCTCTGCCAGTTCAAGTAAAGATTTAAAAGCCTCGGAGGTATAAATTTCCTTTTCTTAATGTCTAATCTCTCTAAACTTGAATTTCTTGCTCTAGATATATCGGGAAAAAGCTATCTATCATGGGTACTCGATGGAGAAATTCATCTTGATGTGATGGGTCTAGCAGACACCATCCAAGAAAATAATGAAGCATCGAATCAAAACCGTGCCAAGGCGATAATATTTCTCCGTCATCACCTTGATGAAGGTTTAAAAATGGAATATCTCACTGTTAAGGATCCTCTGGTATTGCGGAACAATTTAAAAGAAAGATATGACCCACGTTATGACTGAATCCAGTTGAGACTTCAAGATTTTAAATCTATCAGTGAGTATAACTCTTCCATGTTTAAAATTATCTCACAATTAAAATTATGTGGAGAAAATATCACTAACCATGATATGTTGGAGAAAACATTTTCCACTTTTCCTGCCTCAAGTATGCTCGTGCAGCAGCAATACCGAGAAATGAGATTTAAAAAATATTCCGAATTAATTTCACATCTCCTTGTTGCTGAACAACATAATGACTTACTGATAAAAAAACCATGAAAGTCGACCTACTGGTTCTATGCCATTTCCTGAAGTAAATACGGCAAATTTTCACCAATCTAGGCGTGAAAAAGGTCGTGGCCCCAGTCGTGACCGTGGTCGTGGTCGAGGAAGAGATTTCAATCATGGTGATCGTCTTGCACTAAACAATAACCTTCAACACAAGCAGTGTAAAAAGAAGAATGAAAAACATGATGTAGTGCACAGACAACAAATGTTATCGATGTGGAGGAAAAGGACATTGGTCACGTACCTGTCGTACGCCAAGGCACCTGGTTGAGCTATATCAAGCTTCCCTGAAGGAGGTGAAAGATAACGCTGAAGCCAACTTTATCTCGGAAGATACTGTTGGACCCATGCATCTGGATGTAGCGGATTTCTTTGAGAATCCCGAAGGAAAGATAGATCACCTGATAGGTGATGGATCTGTGATAATGTAAATATGTTTCATTTTCGTCGTTTATATGAACTAGTATGAATATGTTTTCCTAGACTGGTAAATAACTAAAAGGTTGTGTAATGTTTTTGTTTAGTAATAATATTATAATGTTTATTTCGTTTATATCTTTTATCTTGAAGAATATATGGATACCTCAATGATCAATCATGAAGATATTTGTGTAATTGATAGTGGAACAACGCACGCCATATTCAAAGATGAGAAATACTTCTCCTACTTGCTTAGAAGAAAAGCAAATGTTACTACAATTTCTGGTAATTCAAACTTAATAGAAGGCTCCGGAAGAGCTACTATATTTCTGCCTAAGGGGACAAAACTCGTCATAGAAGATGCTTTGTTCTCTTCTAAATCCCCAAGAAACCTGTTAAGTTTTAAAGATATTCGCCGAAATGGATATCATGTTGAGACAATAAATGAAATGAATATTGAATACCTTGGTATTACCAAGATTGTCTCAGACCAGAAATATGTGTTTGAGAAATTATCAACTTTATCTTCTGGCCTATATTATGCAAAAATAAGTACGATTGAAGCACACTCTATCGTAAACCAGAAGTTTACTGACTTGAAGACTTTTGTGCTTTGGCATGACCAAATAGGTCATCCTGGATCAATAATGATGAGACGAATCATTGAAAACTCAAATGGACATCCATTAAAGATCCTGAAGATTCTTACAAATGATGAGTTTTCATGTGCTGCTTGTTGCCAAGGCAAATTGATTACTAGGCCATCACCAATGAAGGTTAACATTGAATCCCCTCAATTTTTAGAACGAATACATGGGGATATTTGTGGACCT